CGTGATAAATTTATGTGCTATTTTCTGCAATGCAACTTAATTTGTACAATTTATAAGTGATCTCTCAGATTCTTTACTTCTTTTTTAGACTTTTTAAATAATATTTTAAACGTAATACTTTTTTATTGTTTATCAAAAGCAGAAAAAAAATATTACATTAAGTTAATGGCTTCAATGGCTATATTTATGTGCAAAATGATAGAAGATAAAGTCCAAGCTTTGAGGTTCGAGAGATCTCGCGCGCTTTGTTAAAGATTAATCCTTTGCAATTCTATGCCAGAGTAGAGGCGACAATCGTCCGCATTATTCTCCAAACAGTTGAAGCAGTATTGCATTATGACAATTAGCAATATCAGCAGATATTTCTTTAATTTTCATCGAGCTCGCTGAATAATTAATCATTAGATTCGCTCACTCACGTCATCCGAACAAAGACAAAATATTCAATATTGCTTGATTCGTGAAAATGAATTCGAATCGCAAAGGATTAAATAGCACTGGAGCGCGACGTGAATGCCCGGGGAAGGTTGTAATGGACACGGGGAGAAATCTACACCAAATCTACACAATTCTATTACAAATTGCCGACTAGTACGAGTATCGTGTTCGTGAATAAGTCCGCCACGGACCTTTATTCGGCCGCCCCTAATGCTACCGTATAAGGCGTCCCGTTTGACCGTCGGGACACTTAGCGTCGAGGGGGGGAGGGAGGCAAAGGCGAGAAAGAGAGGAAACGGATCGACTAGGACGAGGTCAAAGCGATCCTCGACCAAGTTCGACCCGGCGCATATTATATCGAGCCGATGGGGTATGCCGTCGTTTGTCATCCGGCCTGGCTCTCTTACCCGCGTTCGTATTTTCGTGACGCAAAAAAAGGACGACGACGACGATGGCGACGACGACGACGACGGTGACGGCGACGCGCGGAGGGAAGAAGCGGCTAGGCCGGTGGAAGAGCTCCGTCGCGCATTGTCGCGGTTCACAAAGGCCACAAAGGAGGACGTGTGAATCAGCAGTAATGGGGATAATGCAAAACTACGGGCGAGAGAGCCGCGCGAGGGAGAGACACGCGGGGGAATACCTGAGGGCTATCGAATCCGTAGAGTCCGACGCGGGGATGCAGGGAAGAAGAGCAGGAGGGGGGAAATATCGTCGCAGAACTTCGAGAAGGATCTTCGGGCGGGATCAAGGACTGGCCGGTTCCGTACCGTCTGGTGGCGTGTCGAGTGTTTTCCCGGGTCGCGCCGAGAATGTCCGCGAGGATCGGACTACAAATCCGAGATAAACGCGCGTCACCGTGTATATGTTTTCATAAAGAAGAATGAGCGGACGTGTTCCCGTATTTTCCACATTTTCCGTAACATAAAAGGGAAAGAATGCGTAGAAGAAATTTCTTAAATGTCGCAAACGTTTCATTTTCCCGATTTAAATTAATTTACATTTTCTTTATTTTTTACATGGCTGCGAATAAAATTTTTCCTCTCTTTGCTCATACGAATATTTTTAAATTTTATTTGACAAATATTGAAACAATTTATCGCTGTAGGTTTATCGTCGTGGTTGCTATCTGAAACGCTCGCAGATGCGGAAATCCCGATTCGCACGAGCGCGGTATAAATCCGCAAAAACAGACACATCTTTAAAGACAGAACTCGACAAAGGCCTCATCATTATCCTGGATATATCGGGGATACGTTGTCTATAGGTGTGAGGGGACAGCGCGGCCAATCGACAAGGAGGGTGTCATTGTTGCGTTTCGCGCGTGTACGAGCAAGCCGCTTTTAAATCGTGCGGTCCGAGCGGCGACGGGGCGCGGAAAAGGGACGTGCGAATTGAATAAAGTAACGATCCGCAACGGACGACCGCGGATCCGCGTTATCTGGATGCCACAGATTGGGGTTGCTTGAATCACCCGGGGCCGATCTATCAGATAGGATAAACAGTACAGCGACGAGTCCCTTAGCAATTACAGCAATCTAGAGTCCGCGCCTATTTGAAAGAAAAACGTTCTGTCTTTTGGGAGCGGAAGAGAGTCGTTCCCAAAAGAGTGAGGAGACGCAGAATATTTTTTCAGTGTATATCGACGAGACTGGGCGTTGTCAACTCTTAACGAGGCGTTTGGAATCTCCAAAGCTCGAACTTTATCGTCTACTTTTTTTGCCTGCGCGTAAAATAAATTAATGAATAAAGATGTCAAATAATAATTCTTTCCTCTATTTTTTGCGCGCCTAGAAATTCGACATTTAGATTTAATTAGACAATCAATAAAAATAATCAGCATTATGTTCAAGAATGTTAAAAAACATGTTAAAAAAATAAAATAATGTATTTGAAAGATTTTGCATTGCTAATTTTATCAGTTTTTTCACAAAATTAAAGATTAAAAATAATATTTAAGTTGCCTTATCGATTGTGTGATTGATAAAGGATAAGAGTTTAAAGCAGCAAATAGTTGTGTCGTTCTATATAACACAACGGAAAATAAATAGTTCATTTTATTTAGAAAACTGAATAAAAACTTGTTATATTTATTTGCTTCTTCATGAATTATTAAATAAAAGCAAATAAAATCCTTCGAGAGAATGTTTCCTACAACTTCTTTCCATTATAATGTGCTACCGCTTGCTACTGCCGTTTTCACTGTTTACCCTATAACAAGAATCGCCTCGCTGCGAGATAAAACCACCGCGTTCTCCTGCGACGCGACAAAACGTGAGGGTTGCCCCTCGCTATGGGGGTGCGACGTTATTAAGGGCGTTCTTGGGGGGACGAAATGCGATCGTCGTCGCGACGTGATTCCTCCTCCGAGGATTTTAAGCGCGCGGTACAATCGTATGAATTGAAGTAACAAGAAAGATTGAGTGAATACGACACTCGCTAGAAGATTAATAGCTTTGTTCGAGATGAAAGAATTTTTATAACGCGCCAAATTGATCAAGAAAATTTCATATCATTGCGCAAAATTTCTTTCACATTAGAGAATAAATTGTGCAAAAAATATGTTTTACTAATAGCAGTTTTTTTTTCAAAAAAAACACTTATATATCCAAGTAAAATGAATTAGTAATAAATTCTCTTTAATTTTGACGAATACAAAATTTGTGTAATTAAAATATTACAAAGAAAAAGCATTATGTATCGTATCAAATTCCTATTGAAAATGTCTTTTTATCTTTCACCCGAATATAAGCTCGGAATCGATTTCGAAGCAGCGCAACCGAAAGTTCAGAATTAGCCAAGCCATCTCATCGAAGGGTCACGTGCTTTTCATTGACCCTGCCTCTTCAATCCCCTCACTCCTCAGGGATGAGTCATTCTATCGCGATTAAGAATTTCCTCCTCCTTCAGAATAACACTCGAATGTGCATAAACAAGAAGCGAAGGACGATCAATCGCGTTTATCAAAGCTTACCGTAACATTTTTTTCGAAAAATTTCGAAAAGGAACGAAAAAGATTTGAATATGAAAAGCGTTTATATTAATTGGCAAAAAACTCATCACATCGTGACACGCGATAATCCCGAAAATAACCTTGTAATGCACGGTTTTGCACGTGAAGGACTCTGTAATTTTATTACAATGAATCGACATGTATGAGCGCCGCGGATTCACCGCGTGCGTATTAACTTTTAATACTTCATTCCCACACAAACACAGACCGGAGGAGGCTTCACGGACTCACAGACAAATATTAGTTTGACGTCGCTAAGTCAACATTCACAGATGACTTTTCGTTACAATAGTCGTGAAACCTCGCCTCTTAGGTCGGGCAGCTTCTTGTTGCTGCTGCGGAGAATTAAGATATGGGGAAGGCGATCGGAGAAAGCAGAAGGCGACGGCGGAAGGGGGGAGGGGGCGAGAGGATAGCAGCAGCAGCAGCAGGAGGATAGAGTCGAAGAAACGTGGCATCGTGGAATGCAGCTGTACAATGCGGCAGGTCCTCCACCAACACCGATCTCGTATTATTATAGCGCGTATATATGGGCCCCCGGGGCCCGGACCGGCGTATGCGGACTATTCGACCGGGTCCCGGGATTTTTCTAGCTCGATCACCCTCCAAAGCATTACGGCGCGAACTTGATTTAATGCCGGATTAAACGGACGGCTTTGTGGACGGCTTAATATATGGATCCGCGGATTTATGAATCACGGACGATCATGATGCCGTTGCCGTTCTATTTTTAATTTAATGAACGCTATTGTGCTACTGTTCAGTGAAGTCAGAGCACCATGAAGTGCTTCGTACACGATATCTGATTTACAGAGCATTGACGTCTGATTTACAGAAATTTATAACGGCTTTTTTCATGCAGTGATTTTAAATAAATTCAATAAATTAGGAAATGTCACATTTGTTTGCTTAGCTCAGCATGTTTGAAAACTACGATGTTATTTAATCACACATAGCGTTCCGAATACGTCATAAAAAAATATCATTAAAAAAAATGACATTTCTTTTTATACTATTAATATATCATACGGTATCTTATTTAAAATGAATATGCTTTCTTAAAAATGTAATGGTATATTTTTCACATAATTTGTTTTTTATACTTCCAAGTATTTATTGCAATTTATATAATAACATTTAAAATTATATTTTCAACAGTGAAACGATAATGGCATCATGATCATTATTTTAATTCTTCAGCTGTTAGCAATAACATTTTTAAAATAATTCTTAAACTTAAAATAAGATAAAATTTCAGTATAATTATGATAATTGTATGTTGTTTAAGTTTTTACTATGTACTACATAAATATTAATTAATTAAGATTAGAGTAAAATTGAAATATAATAAAATCAATGGCAAAATTCAATTATTTCTTGCTCAATGGCAATCTTCAATTATTTCTTGTTTAAAATTTTATTTGCTATTATTGAAAATTGCTTTTCATGCGTGTTTGTGAACTAAATATATGCATTAACTGAATATATGCATGTACAGCTGAAGACTTAAAAATTGTCCTTTATAAATGTGGAACAAAATGCGACTCACCAAAGTCGTGGAGTACAAGTGGAGCATCCAAATGAATATTGTCCTATAAAAACAAAAATTATTTAAGAAATTGTATGTTAATATTATAAATACAGATAAAAGTTAAATTATTATTTAATTTAAGCAAATTGAAAAATGTAATAATTGTTTGCAGAACAAATTTATTTTATATGTATGGACAAAATAATAAAATAATAATAAAGTAATCAAAAAGGATTAAATAAATTGATAAAACATTTTATAAAACGTTAAATTCTGATTGTATAAAAAAGGATTATATCATTATTTTTACATTTATCCGGAAAAAGATAAAGCAAAACTTTAATTTATTACCAATACTTACTACCATATTGAATGATATTCTGCATTTGCAACAATTTGTACATTTTACAATATAATTTACGAAAATATATCAAATAATCTCGCAATGAATAATAACAAGCGAGCTTAAAATTATTATAAAAAATATAATAAAAACAAAGTAAAAATGAAATAATTGAGCAATAAATAATTATTAATAAATAATATAAAACATAATAAACAAATTATTAACAGCTAATGCTGCTTCTCTTTCGTCACGTAATAACTGCTTCATCGTTCTTGATGTTCACTCACTCACACAATTTGAGATCAAAAGAACACGACTTTGCATCTACTAATTAACGCAACACTATACATTTACTCGTTACTTTGCACGGTACTTTCGATGTATTTCGAACGAATAAATAACGCGAAATAAAACGAAACGACACTTGCCCGGTACTTACGACATTAGTTATATTTACAGAATGCACTCGACGTGCGACAAATTCGAGCTATGCTCTATTAGATAACGTAACGTGACGATCACTTTCTACTTTTATGGCGTTTTCGATATACCTTGAATAATGCAAAATGCGACAATACTCGTATGACACTTTCTCGATGTACTTTGCGAAAAATTTAGGTTATATAGCGCTGCAACTTTACGCCAAGTCGTTAATCGACTGCATAGCCAAAAACTGCAAAAATATCTCTAATTAATATTTATATTATATTACTAATTATGCAAAACATAACCATGTTCTTAATTACTTACCATAATTAATACGAAGTTACCGCGACAATTGTCCAATGCACTGTGTAAAAAATTAGAGTTAGTGCAGTTTCATGCTGATATACGAACAATCACTTTATTTCACTCATCAGCCTTGTAGCCAAATGCTGTAAAAATACTTTTAATTATTCATCACACTGTATTACAACTTATAGAAAGTGTATATTGTGTTATTAATTACATACCCGATTAATTGAAAAATTGCAGTTACGCTTCCAAACCTCGAATGTACCAACCAGCTTATTTTCACTCATCTTTATCACCATAGAAATTGAACAATCATGACCCCCTCTAGGTATCATTCCCTTTAATCCTTTTGATATCCCTTTATTAAACACTATCATTCTAGTTTCTTCTGGCCCAACTGTTACATGATCTCATCATGCTATATTAAATAATAATTATAAAGAAAGAACTATCAGACTTTTAATGACAATCTTATTAGGAATTTACTTTTCAGCACTTTAATTAATTGAATATATAAAAGCACTTTTTACAATTTCTGACTCTGTTTATGGCTCAAGTTTACCAATAGCGCGTACCTTGTAATGCCAATATTAGTCAAAACAATAACTAGCTGAATACATTAGATATATAATACTTCTGATTTAGAATTTTCGTTGTAAATTCAGTTTTAGGCCGGTATTCATAGTCCGTTCTTATATTCAAGATTGTCTTAAGCACGGACTTATATTCGCTCTCTTCGTCACACATAGATTGTGTCTGACAAAGAGAGCGAATATAAGTTCGTGCTTAAGACGATCTTGAATATAAGAACGGACTATGAATACCGCCCTTAGATTAATTAGTTTGTTTTATCTATGTTATTTATCGCTTAAATTTAAAGAAGCTGACGCTTATCGAGATAAAATTATTATTTGCGAAAAATTTAGGTTATGTAGTACTGCAACTTTATATCATCTCATTAACCGATTGCATAACTGAATAAAAGTGCTCTTAATTGTTATTTATATCATATTATTAAATATGTAAAGCATATACCATGTTTCAAATTATTTACCATAATTAACACGAAGTTCTGCGATAATTGTCCAATGCGCTGCGTAAAAAATTTAGGTTATGTCACGCTGAATATAAACAATCGCTTTTCTTCACGTCGCGTTGCTCACCAGCCTTGTAGCCAAATGCTGTAAAAATACTTCTTATTATTAATCACACTGTATACAACTTATACAAAGTGTATATTGTGCTATTAATTACATATTACACTGATTAATTCAAAAATTGCAATTACGCTTCTAAACCTCGAATATACCAGCCAATCAGGTTTGCCAATAGCGCGTACTTGTAATGAAAATATTAGTCAAAACAATAACTAGCTGAATACATTAGATATATAATACTTCTGATTTAGAATTTTTGTTGTAAATTTAGTTTTAGATTAATTAATTCGTTTTATCTATGTCATTTATCGCTTAGATTTAAAGAAGCTAAAGCTTATCGAGATAAAATTATTTGCGAAAAATTTGGGTTATGTAGCGCTACAACTTTATATTATCTCATTAACGGATCGTACAACTGAATAAAAGCTCTTAATTGTTATTTATATTATATTACTAAATATGCAAAGCATATACCATGTTTCTAATTATTTTGGACATGTGTGCTGTCTGAGTTAGAGCTTATCCAAACAATTTTGTCTGAAGATCTAAAGGATCACATTTTACATACGTATTTATAAAATAAATGCGATTAGATAATTTTCTTTATGCATATGATTATGCGGCTATAGAAGTTTGTGTGGATATAGGCTCGTACGTGAAAGATTTGCTCGTTTTCCTATTATGTTTAGAAGTTAAAAAAAATGTATCTTATTATCTATATTAGAATTTAACTTATGATAGATTATTGTTATTATTTATTTTATTTATTTCAAAAAAATTTAAATTCTTTCAGTTAACCGTGCATGTAATACACTAAACAATACAACAAATGATAATTTTGAGAAAATAGAGATAGATAGTTTTTTAATTACAATATGGTATTATTATATAATTATATAATTTATTATTATTGTTAAATGCAAAAAATACTAGAAACAATTTTATGTCGGCAGGCTAATTATAAACCGATATGACAATTTCAGCTTTTGTTTTGATGCATGTGGTCGCTAGATTTTTTTCGTCATTTTCGTCATTTCGTTCATTTCGTCACCAGCCAGTCAATCGTAACGAGCTTTTCGCGCTTGCTCGCGCGTTCTCCGCATCAAAATCGCATTCTGCAAGTAAGTCTTACATTTCTGTATAGTAATTGTTGAGTAGTGAACGATCAAAACGTCAAGTTAATTAACACAGACAACTGTGCAATTAACGGCGCTCTACGGTATTCGTAAGAAATATGATCTCACGATAAAAAAATGGCGGAGTCGTTTACGTGGTGGCGTCATATTTTATTTAAGAGAACGCATTACAATGCATTGCTCGCTCGTATGAATCATTAGTGCAATCGGTACATTCAAAACGCGTTGGTCTTGCGGTTTGTCGAATTAATTGAGGTACGTGATTAGTAATTAGCTGTGCCTTCATGGTGTTGCGATACACGGTTGGCAATAGGCGTGGCGAAAGTGGTGCAACTTCGGTGGCGTCCACCGTGACTTGCAATATTTTTGTAACCGAAACGCGTGGGAAATGTAATCGTACGGACGATTTATGGTGGTAATGTTGCGCGTTATTTAAGCCGTCCGAGAGGCGTATAATACAAAAAGATGATTAAAGTATTTCTTTTTTGTTTTGGCTTGATAATTTTTAATATTTTTTTGCTATTTCAGAACTTGGTGCGCGCTTCGCTACAATCATAGATATATTATATATAGATAGAGCTTTATACCATTTTTGCTATAGTGCAACACTTGCCAAGATAATGACGGATTTTCCTCCTTCGCGCATGCGCATTCGTATATTTATCTCGGCGGATACAGCACTTTTACATAAAATTAGGGTTATATCCTTGGCTGTTATGGATAAACAGAAGATAAATGCGCGATTGCACATGCGCGAGGGAGGAAAAGATAATTTTATCTTGGCAGGCAGTAAGGCCGGTAGTCCGTTCTTATATTTAAGATTGTCTTAAGCACGGACTTATATTCGCTCTCTTCGTCACACATAGATTGTGTCTGACGAAGAGAGCGAATATAAGTTCGTGCTTAAGACGATCTTGAATATAAGAACGGACTATGAATACCGCCCTAAGATTCACAAAGCTCTATCTATATGTAATATATCTATGGTTACAATTAATCTCAAAGTTTTCGTGCTCAAGGTCGACCGTGCAAATAGTCTCGTCGTATTTCGCGTTATTTGTTTGATCGAAGTGTGAAGTGTGAAGACCGGGAGTGCCGTACA